ACTAAAAATTGCAGATAGATGCACGCCTGCCACCAGTAGACTATATCGCCGAACATCCTTTGCTTGCATGAAAATCGTATCGACGAACCAAACTGTATATCCTAATAATAACGTCTTACTAGAACAAATTCTCAGACCTGCAACACAATTAAAAAGCGTAGAATAGCTATGCTTAAGAATAAAAATAGTGCTGAACTTCGATACTATTAATGTTAGAAGTCTGCTCTTTGAACCATCTCTGTCTTTCACTAAGGCTATAAAATAGTCCGGATACTCTAGTAGTCGATTTCTGGAATCAAATATCTGAGTGCCACATCAGCTCTTATGTTCTCGGTTGTATAGATCTGACTGAATCATAATCATGATGAAGACAGAGATCCGACACTGTAACGTTGGTTGATGATATGACAAACAATTCTTATCTAGCTGAGCCTGCAAATAACACAAATGCATGCTATTACTAATAATGCTTGATAATAGGACACTGCAACATCTAATATGTAATCCTTATGTCGAGTTTTTCTCATATTTGCCATTCGTCAGGAAACGAATCCGAAATTGGAAGGTAATCATTATAATGATTGTTAATTTACATTGGTTATCTTTTCAAGATGTGCTCTTCTTCTACATTCTCGTTTATACTCTATCCTTGAATTTTAGCTCGTTGTGTTGTTTTGGTGACCTTCAGATCATCATACTGAATTGGCTGGGTGATCATTTTGAAATAATGTTAGTTCCTTTTATCTAGCTTTTATCTACCGTTAAGTTAGTGCTTTATACATGAGGAGTACACCGTGAAATATTTATATTTTGCCTACCTTAGTCTTGACTTAGAAGATCATTTGTAATCGTGAACAATACAATCAGCATTTTCTAAAAAAATGGCTACTGTGATCAATGGTATTGTGACCTATAGCACACATGACGCTTTTAACACGAAAATCGCAAAGCCATGCAGTCACACGGGTGCGAGTAGCAGCAATTTCGAAATATGCGTTCCCCGGAGAACGTTTTATCCATTACGAAACAAATACAACCAGCCATATGTTAGATTTATTATTGTGGGCAGACACTTTAAAGCTTCTAAATACGCGGGCGGATCATGGAAGCCGTTAGGGGATGATCGGCTGTGACCTCAACTCACAGCTAACTGTATAAGGCTTCGAGCGATGACCTAGTCAGGTTAAAAGCTCGACTCTGTTCATATGCACTTCGTTAGCCAATCCACTAGCAAGATGTTACGTTCTTTACTTTCTTAATGAACAGCAAATGCTACCTTCCCGAACCACCATACTATGAGCCTTACTACTGCCGGGCATAGTCATGGAAACAAAAATATTGACATGGGATGTAGTCTGCTACGTGCATCGAACAGAGCACCATGTGTGATACGTAATCGAAAGCCAAACGGTAACTGGGCAAACAGCAAAAAACGAGGATTGCAGGGGCTGTGGCATCGATCATTGGACGACCAGCTACATTCACTAATCGTTGCGTCAGCTTTATTGTGAACGATGCCCCTGCACGCAACTACCCCCAAAACGTCCAATATGCTTGCAGTCGAAAATACTCTGAACCTTTAAGGACTGCCTAGATATCTTCTAGACAACAAAAGCTAGTCATACAAAAGCTACATTCTTTTTTCTTCACCTAGCAATATTCTATAATCTCTGTGATCTTGTGATTGACGTAAAGGAAGAGAATATCAATTCAGCGGCCGGCTCTTTCCTAGGAACGCTAATCCAATAAATACTTCACTAAACAGTGACAAATCTAGTTGTATCATATAAAGGTTCCACTATTTTAAGGTCACAATTTGATCTTTTCTGACATTTCTTTTTGAACAGTGTGAAACGCGTAGGATGCAATATACGATGAGGTAATAGGTTCCGGAAGTTTTACAGGAGACGCTCGATGCAAACTGGAACTTGTTGGTGCTAAGAATGGTCAATAGTTGGAATTTCGAACAACAAATTTATAATAATTCGTTACCGATCAACAACAGCGTACAATGACCCATGAACTCTGAAGGATTTTTCGGCAGCTTCCACGCTGTCAAAGAAGCTCGAATATTAAGTAAAATTTAAGACACGCGGCAATAAATACGCGCAACACTGGGTTTCTCTAGACGTCTACCTAAAAATATCGGTGATACTATCAAAACTCGAACAAAAACTTTTCTTTGCAGAAACAACTGTATGTTTGTAGTGATAAATTTGTGTCCATTTCATAATATGCGAAAACGAATTTCTCGTACACCAAACGTAAGGGCTAACAGTTTCGTGAAGCTAACAACGTCCAGCCTGTAGTAGTTCGGCGGATCGCTGTCAAATCCGACTGTTGAGAAGCCTTGAACTGCTGCTACCGGATGCGCTGATGTTGCTTTTCGTCGATACAGATCATCAAATTATGAACCCACGACGATCGTGGATGAGATGATGACCCAGAAATATGCAAACTTACACGGTGGGAAAGATTGACAAACGTCTATATTTCTTGGCAATGGTATGAAAATAGGCGAATTTTCCGCGGAAAGGTGTCTCACGGATAAGTCAGTGATATATCTTGTCATATAAACATTCGCTCGTAGTTTAATAAATCTGACGAAGAATTCACATCAGTAACGCTTTATCGCGTTAGTTTTGTGTCTGCTTTCTGCCTTAGGCTGCCAAAAGAGATTCACAGTCTTCTCAATAGCACATAGAACAATTCGTCAGTAAGATACAAAAATTCTACTAATAACACTGACTTTGTACCTACAGTACTGCTATCGAGCTTCAAATTAAATTCGGTTCTTCGAAATGTCACATGTAACAAACTATCTATCAGTAATAGGTATTAGCCGTGAATCCTTGCCTAGTGAGGGGGTGTTAACTGCTCGAATGATCCTTTTTAATTTCTAGCAGGCGAAAATTAGCAACAGGAGTACGACAGGAACATACATACGTTGTGAAAGCATAGCACGAATCCAGTTAGATTAAAAATTAACTGAACGAGAGGTTTCGGTCTAAATAAATAGTACGATGTATACTAGCTTATGTAGTGCTGGTAAGTGATAAGTGGTCAAGACGCTTTAGGGAGTGGCCATATTATGATCTCACTAAAGTAATAACAGTGTTCGTAGTTGGCGCAATGAATTTTATCGATGGACAACGTTATTTTTTGCCTGTTTATGTAAAACACTAAACCATTGTTGACGCCTCATACTTTCTGGTGGTTTCTAGTCTTGTACCGAAGATACGTTATTTTCATTGACAGCAGTAAAGGGTTAGTGTTACTTGTATTGATATTAGCGTAGTTCACGATATGTACATAATACACTTGAAAATGTATTTTTTCAAGAGTTTTTTCTGTTCGAGGGATTTTTTAAACATACATTTACGGCGCATTTGCTGTTAATATCGATAACCTAGCTGTCGGTATCGTTTTTCTGCTAATTAGGATCAATAGGGCTAGGCAAGGATGGAAGCAAAGGGCTGCTTGTGGATTTCGTCATTAGCAGACGAAAATTAGCAGTACGATCTGCTATTTTGGTTATGATAATGAGGACCATAACTGCAGTGGCTGTCACTATAAGTAGTAGTGATCATTGATATCTTAATATTGTGATAATGTTCACCGAAATCGAGAACTTAACTTATCCGCCGGATTTCCGTGAGCTATATTCGCTGAATGGTGCAACAGTTCATTTTTATCTAGTTTTATCTACTATTTATATACCATTCAATAAATGCCCATCACGGGGTTATTATCGAGCATCGTCTAGCTTCAGTCTTAGATATAAGAAGTAGATAAGCAAATACATTCGCATCACATGACGTCGTAGCTAATGTAGCTAGTTTGAGTCAAACCATCAGAGGACAGATGCGAGGTCACAGAGTCGATAGCTGCGCATTATTTAAATAATCTTATTAGTAGACCGTTATATTTTAGCCATAACGAGAAGCAGTTGGTTGGCGATAATTTATGCGTGCGTTTCACTGGGACCCATTGAGTTGCTGAGTATTTTTAGGAGGATTTTCTCTTTTGATTGGAGATATTTTCATTCTTTAAGTTTACCACTAACTATTGGTTTGTTTTATAAGGCGATATGGAAGGAAACTGACGCCAAGTATAAATAGAATCATATTCTGCACCGGACATGGTTTGTAAGATGTGCCTTTTCTAAAATAAAAAAAAGCAAAGTACTTTTAATCACAAGCAAGGACTTATGTGATGTGCAAGCAGATAGATAATGTGTTACCTGTCAACTAAACTATTTGCAACATTTTTTTACATCTTCACATACTTTAATGCTATCGCGTTACCATCAACTTAGTGCTGCAAAGAGAACCCAACGGAGAAGTTCCGTTCGTGTAGAAAACAATAACACTTTGAAGGACTGATCGTTTTCATTTAGCTCGGTATGAAACAAGTATTAAACGCGGACGTAAGGCATGTATAGTATTTTCTACGCTTCCACAAATACAAATTTGGTTACGAGAGTACAAACGTTTTATACACTGTATTACATGACTCTACGCAGCTCTCAGCTGCTATATGGACCTCATTTTATAAGTCGTACTTTCGCTGTTTTTTAAAATATGACCAGCTAAGGATTTTTCAGTACTGTAGCAGACAACTAGCTGGAAGATTTGCCAGCCTTCGTGGCAAATAGACTGGAGTAGTTGAGAAAGTAGGTTCCTCGTTAAGTGAGCTGATGATAGATTGGTGTTACAGAATACAGCATAACCAATACTCAGATCAGGAATAACATCCATATGGGCTGATTTCCCATACTATCTATTGTTATATTGCGTATTCTATATATATAATATGTTAAAAATAATATTTGTGTCACAATTTTTGCGGCGCAGTTCTCATATTGATGAAATGATGAATATCATCTCTAATATACTGATATAAGGAGGCCTAACGTCAACTTAGCCTTTTTTATTTTAGCAACTCGACAAAAACTTGTGAATCAAGATAGTGTCAACTTTCAAAGAGAAACATTTCCGTTAGGCATCATGTATTTATTTAGATGGACAATATTTGTTGATCGGGATTTTTTTAGCTTTTAAACAGATAAAGATCGAGGGTTTAAGTGCGTGTATGACATTAAGGCAATTATAATCTGTGTAAGCTTCGGCCTCATTGCAACATAGCGACTTTAGTTCGAGCTATTAAATGGTGCTACTTGACTAAGTTCTCAAAATTCCATTCGCCTGCTTAATCCTCAAACTGTATAACGAAGCTAAATAAATAAATAACAACGTGCTATTTAAGTAAAATAAATAAACTCTCGTATATGAAATAAGGGGCTCCGTATATCAAATTTTGAACGAACGTCAGGACAACAAGCATCATTGTTGAGTCGCGTTCCTATTTTATAGGAGCAGTGCCATGGCTGTAAATAGCTGAGATGAATTTGAGTGGCGGTTCGATATAATTTCCTCATATGCAATTTGTTCCTAGTGAAGCTCTTCATCCGCTTATCGCTCATTGCCTTAAGCGTCGAAAAGACTAAGTGCTCGCCGCAGTTGTTCACTCATTCTTTGCTAAAACTTTTATACAGCTCATAGATTTCTTAAGGAATAGATATTATAACAGTTTTTCTATTTTTTTTTTAGGCAAGATCCAATGAAAACTGCGCGTAACTGGCCATCTAAAATTTATATCCGGTTTCTGAGTTTGGCTTAAAAGAAAAAAACACGTTTTCTGGCTTCGCAGCTAGGCTTCAACACTTTTTTTGTTATCAAAAATTTTGTTCCGTTTAAAAAACAACTTGTAGGCCATTTTGTACTATTGAAATTGTAGTGCTACACAGATCAACACAAATCATTTCGTTCAGTTTGTATATGGTGGTACAATCCAAGTTGAGACAGGGCAATTTGGATACGTATAGGGTGGACAAAATCTTACCTACGTAAGTAGCCCCAATCTACATAGGACACGTAAATTACAATTTTGTTTGACGCTATGTACCATTATAATTGAATGACAGCTGGTTCATTTTAATACAAGATTGCGTATTGTGTTCAGTCTATGGCATATTACATAACAGAAATGACTTCTTATATTTAGGACATCATTCAATTAATGAACGAAACTATTGCCTCCAAAAGGCTTCTTTATTTTCCTTCCAAGCTTCCGATCCGCCAGCAAACACTTCTCGCTTCCAAATTGGCACTCTCGATTTTAATTTATTAATGAGCCATTCGGTTGATCGAAGCGTATCCTGCCGGTGTCTACCTGAGCAAACGATCATCACACTGGCTTCCTTCACGGGTATACGGCCTAGACGATGAAGTAATACGATGTGCTTTATTGAGTAAGTGTTACGAACCTCCTCGCATAATTTCTGCATCTCCTTCAGTCAAATTGGCACAGAAAAGAAGAAAGGGTAAGTACCGACTCAGTTAAAAACATTATTACATGCGCTCATAGCTTGTCGGCGTCATACACAATAACCCATGATATAAATCGTCTTTTACGAGGCGCGATCGTATTCCTATTACCGGAAGTCATTCACGGACGTATAGAATATGAGTTTAGGGGAAACCCGCAAACAGCTAAAAATGACAAATTACCTTCAGTGCCATAGCATCATACGCTTCATAGATCAGAGACGACACAATGTCTCCGTCGATAACATCGGAACGTGTCGTCCCAAGAAACATCGATACCGCCCCACAGTCCACTGCAGTCACCTGGGCCAATCCCTCAGAGATATCCAATGAATCCCGAGTTAATTTGACAACGGTCTTTCCTTCACTGTGGCCTGTGCACATAGGACCAAGGAACAAAAATAGTAATTACCTGATATCAAAATTTATCTAGTCATTGAAACAGAACATTCCCAGTAAAGCTACCTGCCTATTCAGAACATTATACTTATCTATATATGTGAAAATGAAGTGTTTCCGCACAAAACGACTCGAATTTATTTGGACGACAGGATTCTATTTGTTCGATTTTTGCACAGGCTAGAACTAATAGTGAAGGTGAGCTGGGCTTTTTATCTAAGTTATTTTTTGTGAAAGAAGTATGCAGGGGCTCTGACAGATATCAACAGCTTTTATGTATTGAAGTGGTCTTAGATGGGGACCACATAATTTAACTAACCTCCGAGATATTCAGACTGTGTGCTTCGGAGATAGAATTTAGTAATTTGTATAGAATGTAGATAATTTGGACAATGCATGTATCTCGAAATCGAAGTAATGGCCTTCTCTGCATCTTGGACCTTTACCAGTTGCTCTACACCGATATAGAAATAACGACACACACCGAGCGCATTTGACAAATAAAAAATAGTGGTTATTTTTCTTTTGTTTAAATTTTGCCTACGCAAATCGGGCCTTTTTTTGACAATTTTATAACATCTATGCGGCTTTAGAGACGAGGCGCTGCTATAAAAGGCCTCCTTAAAAACTGACTGGAAGATGGCTTGTTTTAGAGTATCGGCAGGCGCTCTCATTTAATAACTCACGAAATTGGTCCTAAACAAAATGAGTTTTGTGCGCGTTGCAGTAGAGCGAACAGGTCCAAGCTGGACAAAGTTCTTCTTTCCCGTACACCGAAGCATAAACCATCCGACAAGATAGGCCTATAGAAAGATACAATCGATTCAAGTTACTATTGCTAATCGAATGGAGCGTTTCAATTATGTCATCTTTTAATTGAGTCTCTTAATGAACTTAAATAAAAATCCTCAACTTTCGCTAAGCTCTATTTACACTATTGTTGCTAAAGTTGGTTGTTATCTAAGGTATCTAACAGACCGTCCCCAGTTGTAATGCATATATATTAGAAAAAACTATCATCGATTTATATCTAACAGTTTGCCCTGTCAAAATCATCGGAACGCAGTTTTGCACCTAAATAAACGACCGCAGAAAGTCAAACTGAAATTACGTTGTTCGTTCTTGTGGTCCACCAGTATATTACAGTATATTTTCGATGCGATTTATAGCTGATACGTCTTTCATATTACTGCTCGAACGTTTATTGTGTTAACACATTATTTCGGTATACGTATTTTTAAGATACGAACCCATGTCTAGTGCGTATACTTGGTTTACTTCTTAATCTGGATTTGTATTGTGAGCGGTGCGACCTTCAGTTGAACACGTAAAATGTTTATCCTCCGCTAACTGGCGGAATTACAGCTACTTCAGTTGTCCACGTTCCAATCTGAATGCTGTCCGTTACATACTCGAGATTAACGGCTACGATCGATGAATCCAGGACTGGCTTCACTGAAGGTTCCGCTTCAGCTATAATCGCTTTTAGATTTTCCAGCGAGACCTCTCCATCAGCTAACTTAAGCGATCGCTCAGAAATGCCGGTTAGGTCACGAGCCTTTGCGAAAAATAACAGCTTGACTAACACCATTAGGACCGTATCGGCTGGTCCTAACTACTTTTAACCAAAAAAACGCTCACACTCATTCACCACTAGTAAACGACGTTCAAACATTTGCCGAAACCATAGTGCACGTGTGTATGTAGGATAGAATGTTGCAATTTCGATGAGATGCTGAGGTCAAAACAAAAATACACCGCATATACTGTCAACGTTATATCTATTTACGACATGCTAATGAACGCCCTTGACGTCTACGACCTGTTCCGTCCGTCGACTGTTTGCCAGTCTTAGCTGCAGGAAAAAGACCGCTCCTAGCATCACTCAGCTGACTAGTTCTTTCATTCAATATATTGACTAGGGCGACATTAGCACTAGATGGCGCGCACCACAGTCGAATCTGTGGTTCAAGTGGGGAGGCGCGTGTACTTCTTTTTGTAGAAAAGTGCTAAGCTGCATATACTTAGATAAATAAATACGAACGAGATTCGTTAGTACGTAAATCAACGGGCCGTCTTTTCGATGATGAATCATAGTTGCTGAATGAATATTAAACAGTTAGCATGCATTCGAGTTCCAGCGCACCATCAGGGATCAGCAGGGTCGGAGCAGCTTTAGAACTTCCTTTGTCATTGTAAGGAACTTGAAAAGTGGAAAAAAAATATCACCTTCCATGGATTATATAAAAAGTGTTTGCTTTGATCTAAATTGTATCTCATACGCCTCGAGAAATGAATCGTTTGAAGACTGCACTATGTTCAGAACTGAACAGAATCATAGTACAAATAGAAATACAGTAGTAACTTAGACAAACCTACTTATTAGATCCATTCTAAATTGAACTAACACCGTCACTTCACCGATGCTTTCAGGTCGCGTTGGGCGACGAACATTGGGCGTGACTGCAAAATTTTGCAGTCACGCCCAATGTTTGTAAAAATGCAGAAATATCTTTGTACAATTTCCAAGGAGATCATTTAGTTTAGGATAGAATATGGTTTAGTTACGATACAGATTTAGCATACATAGGTTTCGTATAGTATCTACACAATATGCTATATTCCACTATGTCCCACAGAGGGCTAGCATTTTATATATATATATATATATATGTATATGTGTACCCACAAAATGCTTTGATTATTGGTACGAGAAGGTCAGTCCTAATTGTTTATATATCCCTTAATGAGATAATGCTTTTTATCTGAATGGCTTTTGTGTTATACGAAGCTGCAATATACCATATGATAGATGTATGTCCCAACTGCGTGCAGAATATAACTTTCGTGTTTTAAATCGCTTTAGAGATAATAATAACAATAGTTGTAATAATAGTAATAATATGAGATCAAATAGAGACCTATTTAGATCCGGGGTACTTTCGGTTTCTTGGGTTACTTTTGTCATCATCACGCGCCGTTGGTCACAGCAGAGGCTCTTAACAGTAGGTTTGTTTCTATGTTCTTTTCAGTATTTCGTTCTTTTCGGTAAGCACCCTCTATAGAACTCCATGATCCCCTTCATTGCAATCGTAGAGTGGCCCCTACTAATCACATGTCGTGTCCGAGAGTTAAGCGTATTTTTCGACCCACGCGCCCTGACGGGTACCAGCGCGCGTTGTTCAGGTACGTTTCGCAGGCGCTAGCTTCATTTGTATGCTACTAGCGCCAACCAGCGGCGCACGTTTACTTCAAATGGAGGCATCTTGTTTTGTAAGTGTGCTGATGCATCAGATTGCTAGCTATTAGAATGTGACAAACATGGCTTGTGTTCGAAAAAACCGGATGAGTTTCATCTTCACAGGCCTAGCACATATACGGGAACGTACGTCATAGCAACAAACCCGACAGAACGATTGGCTTTAAACGATATTTGTCTTTTTGTTAAGCCATTGTGTTTATGTTGAAAGCTAGGATTCGTACGTCTATAAATGGCGAGCGAAGCTGTGAGCGTGTTGCTTTTAAAAACGAAACTCGGCTTGAGATTGGGAAGTTCAAGGGAAGATCAGCGATTCAATTATAAACTGAACAGTCAGATCAACTACTACTTAGATTAGGTACTGTGCTTTGAAATACTTATGGCAGTAGCCAACACTGAAAAGTTGCGTTTGTAATCATACATGTAGCCTAATCTACGCCGATGATGCTTAAATACCAATCATGGCTAACAATAAATTTATCAAAGTATGCTTTCAAACTTCGAGAAACGCTTTTGTTTTTGTTTCATCAAGATCTATAATTGTATGAACCTAATAATATAGATTCTGAAATTGTTCGCAGCAATACAATTGTTCGAGCTCATCGACGAGAAATTAGTACTTCTACGCTTTCAAATCAATTAAAAACGTCTGTGGTAAAGAAAACACTCCGATGGATACCTATTGGATTTCTAGACCAATTTAATCTAGCATTATTTCATTTAAAGCTTCATTTAATTCATGAATATTTGATAAAGCGGGCAGAAAACAGCAACGCGACCGCGCGAACTTGACAGTAAGGATCAAACATTTGTTTTTATTATTATTTTCGAAGACGCTCTGTATACGCTAAGCTTAAATACCATAAGACTATACGTAGTTATCACGGAGGCCACGATGGACACTAATAGATAACGGTGTTACAAGAGTAGGATAGACTAGTTCATTTTATTAAAGGAAAGATTCAGCCCATCGTCAATGAGAATAGAAAATAACACCGCAGCATGTCCAAAATATCTATCTGCTATCCAAAACAGGACGTAAACACGAACACTAATTGAGCAAATGTGGACATAAAAAAAAAGGCCAAAATCAAATTCAACACTGGTTTATCAAATTGACGACACCTGCGTAATGAATCGGTAGAATGCCTATGATGCGGTTATTTTTGACGCAGCCCGGAAAGGATAACGTCTCATAGTCAAAAGGCACCACTTAAACAGTTGACAGCAAATGGATTGTCTGACTACCTTTTTGAGTTACGCCTGAAGTGTTCGAGAAGCACTTCAATTACAGACGCTTACCTCATACGCGTGCCAGACTTTCACGTCAACACTGCTTCGAAAAGTGACTCGACTATCTTCCGGTGTGCGATGAAACTCGGTTCATTCAGGTTAAAAATGAAATGTTGTGATGTATCACGTTCTTGAGCTTCAAGTGACCTTAGTTTAGTTAGATCGAGCTCTGAAGTGAACGGAGTTATTATATTTATTATAGTAGACGGCTCGAAATGTCTATTTGGATTCTGTCAAAGGAAGATGGGTCATTTCTGAGCTAACTCCAATGTTTTTTTTCAAAACGTATGTCTTTTTGTTCTACTTTACAATGTAGCCCCAAAATTGGCCCTCAGACGTGAGTAATTTAGGTAAACCTTTTACCAACCACTAACGCTTCATTTATCGACGAATACAGTTATATATTAATCTAAATCTTCTAAAAAGATTGATCTTATAGTGTTGAAATCGATTTTTTTACTCGACCTAAGAATGGGCCGCTATGTTACTTAGAGGTTTTTCCCGAGTCCCATGCAGGATTATCGTGTGCCAATATTGATTAATACTTATATAACAAAAAATAATCTAATTTGACCCAGGTGTCCCCTAAACTACAGTGTGACGAGAGGCTTCCATCCTGCCTAAGATCGCTTCATCAGTGCAATCATTACATATCGTTTTTCCCCACTCGACTATTACACTTCCTTATAATTTAACGATTGATCTATTTGACTGGCGCCATTTATTTAATGTTATCATCTTCTTGAACATAGTAAGTTTATTAATGTAAATTACAATGTGACAATCTAGATTTATACATCTATCGATCCCAATTGAATCAATATCTACATACATGCAACATAAAAATGTAAAGTATGTAACAGTGCCATTTCTTCATGAGACACAGTTTCTATTCTATTAATTCCATGTTTTTTGGGCATCTTGTCATGCAATTTGCCAACACATTCGTTCGGTCTCATTATGACAGCTCTTAGGGACGAAGCCGTTTACAAATGGCTACAGCATTACCTTAGTTATACTTGTTGGCCTTTTACATGAGTAATTATGGCCTCGTCGTTTTATGTCACAATAACCTTGGCCATCTGTGAGCATTTTACGTGTTGCATAGCAGTAACAAGCTACGAGGTTGTTATAACGCTATTTTAAGCTGTTTATTTAAAAAAAAAAAAAACATTTTGCGGCAAATGGCTGAAGGAGCAGCTACTAGTCGGCTTAAGATTCAACTAGTAATCGTTATGTCCGTTACGGCCCTGCTAAACCTTACGAGCTTATGAACTGACCACGTTGCTATAATGTTCGACCTAAAAAAATTTATTTACATCTATCTGGCTATCGTTTATAGTATATACGTATACCCTACGCTCCTACTTAAATGCAAGTTAAAAGTTTTTCAATGTCGTTCGTCGGTGCTGTATAAGGGCAAGCCATAAAATCGTCGTAGGGGATCATCCGAAAGCTGGCCCCTGCATGCACTATCCTCAGTGGGTTATTTGCGAAGATGAAGTATTCTTCAGACAAGTGAGTAACTCAATAACGATGAACGATAGATGAAATATATCGAATATAGGGATAATCGGTCCCTACTACGGTCATAATAAAGTGTTTCGGGAGTAGTCGATGTTTATTAACGTTCAGAAAAAAACTGAAAAGTACTGAGAGCTCGAATTAACTAACAATACTAGCAAATTCTTTTATTTTATTGTTACTAATTAACAATAAAGTAAAAGAATAACTGTATCCTCACTAGTACAACATCTAAACACTGTGACCGAGCGTATTGTTATTAATATTATTGCGAAAATATAACAATATAGATGGTATCTGTCTATATATACTCACTCTAGAGTCGGGTTCACTAATATTAAATATATATGTTCTTGTTGGCTACGTTGATCTACTTGTTTTTTTCGAACCAGGCGTTCCCATTTAGCCGGCCGTACCCCCAAGTCACCGCAGCGTTTGTAAATTATTGTTACCAGTTAGAGATCAGGTAAATTTAAAAGAAAAATTGTATTGGGTTTAATTATAAGGCCTAAACCAAGGTAAACATGAACTTACGTAGCACCAGTAAGTGGAATGCGCTGACTATACAGGTTTTATTGTTCGCAGAGACAAGGATAGATTCCACAACACTATTGGCCAACTTGAAACGTTGAAAATTTGTGCTGAACATGGCTGGACGAAGGATTTCATCAATGAACATCTTCGACAAAGTCTGTGGCACAGACATTGTATGTGTCCGACATACCGACAAGGTGACCTACAATTAGAACTAAACAATTTCAGACTAAGCCTTGTTAAGAGATTTCGCCAATTATAATTCATATGAAAATTATAAAGAGAAGTTCTATTACAGAAAGTGCTTACTAAACGTTTGCGTAAACAAGGACGTTTGTTCCTCTTCTGAGACCACGTTAACAACAATAAGACGATGTTATCTAATCATCAAGGTATCAACTCTTACATTTCTACAACACGGTAAATTGAAAGTTAGCTCTTTGAGGAAGAGCTGAGTTAAATAGATCCTCACCAATGCATCTCCAGCAGTGGAGCACAGCCTGTTTGTTTTCATGGGTCAGATGCCCCAGGCCGACTGCACGAGGGACGAACATCGTTAAACCGGCGAACGAAATCTGCCATATAAAACTGTGACATCCAAAGTTCGGGATCGTTTGCGTGCCGAGGATGACAGCGCTTCACCGTAGCGTGAACGGATCCATGCATTTGCCGAACTAGGACGATGTTTTTGGCACCTGTAAACATTTTGACAATTGCAACTTATATCGCGATCGATTACTCCCGAAAATTCAGAAGTTTGCCTTAAACTTCTGAATTTTCGGAAAGACTCCGCTAGCTCATTCGTATTACGTTTAGCATTGATAGTCTAATAAAAAGTAGCTGAGTAACCACGAACGTACACATGGCTAATGCCAGCGTTCATAAGTCATTTAATAGCAATTTGATTGAAATGCGTCAATCTACGTTTTAGATTCGGGGTGTATATTCACAGTCAGGACCAAAGTTATCAGTTGTGTAGTACGAGATGGTTTTTTCGATGTAACGAATACCTGACTGCTTCAAGCTTCCGTGATGGCTGGTCGTCGTCAACACTGTATACGGCAACTCAATAGCCACTCCAAATGCCAGGCGACAAGACATACAACCGACATAATCGGACGGTACGCTATCGCTTGATACATTCAGATTTTATTATTTACCCAGATTTTATACCTTTTTAGCTTGTTAAGGTCATTTTTCTTCTTTCATGCAGCAATTATAGCTGTTGTCTTTAGTAAATGGTAGCCTGCTTTTTCGATGCTTGCTACTCGAAATTGACCTATGGAGTCCATCATGGAATGGCAATTTTCCTTCTTAAGTTTAAACTTATACTCTTACCTGAGAATATTGGCACGCAGCACATTTTGTCCGTGGAAGTATTCTTCTTCGTCGAACTATTGCGGCTTTGTCGGTGAACTCCAAGTCTCCACCCCCAAAAACGACCCTCTAGTAATTTCTTTCATGTCAGCTCCGTTCTGCCAATGGCCGCTTCGATCTTGCCATTGACTCCTTGTCTGCGCATTGCGGCAACACTGATTCTGTTTGGTAGAAACACAGATGCCTGTACGGTACCTTCAGATGAACGATATGCATTACGACCTCATAGATCTCCACCTAAAGAAACCCGTTGACATCAACCTGAAGACAGCTCTTGTTAGGAGACACGGAACGATGTGCAGCCTTGTTCCACGAGTTTCACGACCTTCGTGGTTTAAACTTAAAAACGTTTCACTGTCATCTTAATCTTGACCACTTCACAAGCGATAACAGATTTACAACTTATAAACAGCTAAAATCCGATTACTATAGGCTTCAGCCTGAATTGATCCATTACTGTTATCAATGTAATAACTGTGTTATTTAAACTTTTGATTCCTTCTTCCGCACGTGGGTCATGTGGGTACTAGTCCGTTTATAGGCCGGTATATTGCCGTCTGTGGGCATATGACTTACTTACCCGAAAAAGTACCGTTTTGGCCACCGTGGAATTGTCTGATATTTGCGGAAATGGCTGGTACTCACAGCAACGTAGTGATGCTGATCAAGACTGCCTACGAAGCTCCTTAACTGCTCGCGCTTTCAAGGATAGGAAATTCCTCTCACCCACGCCGGCAGTCTGAGTGAAGCGTGTTTGTCAGCCTACGGGGGTAACGCCATTGCCTTGAATCCCATGCTTTCTCAATACAAGTGTACAAAGCCAGCAGTATCAGCAGAATTTACCTTTAATGTGGTTGTTTTATCAAAGTATAGAATACAGCGCAGTTGAACAGCCAGCGTTATGGTGAGAACCTACCCTGCAAGAGCTTAAATCAGAAAAAACAATGTACTCTAATATACATACATCTAATATATTTCACTTGGGTTATAAAAGCAAAACATCTTGTACCATTTTATGATGCCAATTTGGAGTCACTTGATCTATCAGAAGCCGTTGCGATAGCAAAATACTGTAACGGTATTTTTACGACGTATTGAGCCGTGCTCTGTATCTTGCACTTTGATCCGTGCTCAGCAACAGAAGACTTTAGCGTACTTCAAAAAATTTGCAGAAAACGTGCCCTTTATACTGGACAGATTTTCAACAAACACATACGCGACTTCGATCGAGGCACAACGAAGTTAACTGTGTGTTAAGCTCCGACGATCGTAGACGCCGTCGTCTTGCATCACCCTAAATGACGCATTTCTGTTAATAACGAGAGAAACAAAAAAGAGACTGACTGGAGGATCCCATCTGTCTATATCGCACAACACGAAGCCGGCCTGTCAGATTGCGTGAACTTCTGTATCTCAACACCGATAACTAAATCAACGCATATGCATTTCTATAACTAGCTGAGTAAGTGCTTTATGAAGCTCATACTCCACGCTGTAGTTGAGGCCATTGTACTGTCGTAAGACTCGGCAAGGAACTGTCTCTTTTGCGCGAAAAAGCTTTCGATATGTTGTCCTTATAGAATTATGCTTTAAGCGAAGTGGCCGAGGCAGAATTTCTTTTCGAACATTTGGTGCCGTGCCTGTGCAATGATAAGTTCACTTGGATTTAAACCTTCTCCTTCCCTGGCCTTACGCTAACTCAGACAATTGTTTTGACTACTTTTTTGGTTACCTGATTTTTGCCTGCGTCTGTCTCCCCTGTCCCTGTTCACTCTTTGTCCGTCTGCTACTTTCCGTAGCGTTGTCGGCCAAACACGTAGACAGCAACAATGACAGCGACATTAACAGCAGCTGCAGTAGCGTCTTGGGCGCATGGCAACAATGGTCAAATAGTTCGGTTCAGTCACCTTCTAAACACCTTCGTGTGCGCCTGATGTAGCGTCGTAAATATTCTTGTTACGACCACCGCCATTGTTATCTAAAGGCTGCCTTTTTTCTGACGCCTCGATGCCTCAGACAATACTTCCAGGCCTTTATACCATATCATAACATATATAAACAAATATGAAAATAATGCATATTCCATAATTTATTTCATTATCTATATATTCGCCTATCAGACTTCCTATTTACATAGTGCTGACACAATGAAGGATCTAGCATTTAGCTACACTGCAGTGAATCAGACGCTGCTCAACTACTGATGCCGGCTGTTGTTTACGGGGGTGGACAAACTTCGGGAAGCGGGTCGAGATGGTCGTTTGCTCGTTACGCAACTTGTTGTAGCGCTGTTTGTCGTTAGGGCAGGTCGTTTCTGCCGGCTTGTGCAGCGATAGCCTTGTCGGATTGTCGTCAGGGCGAGACCATTATATCTACAATAGATGCCGAATAGCAGTTCTTTTACGTCCAAGACGTTTCTGTTAGTTGGACACTGCCATTCACCATATCGATCACGCTAATGTTTTGCAATACATCTGTAGATCCTGATTTGCTACGATCACATCAGCGTACGGCCATTTTGCATCTATGAGCAACCCCAAAGTCACGGAATTTCATCAAATATTTACGGTTGTGTGTCCCAAATGCATTCAAGTGTCGATTTCGGTCGTCATGACTTTATGTAGTGCATCTTTAGAACCATTTTTTTTTTCTATAAAAACATCAAAATGTTTCATAGTATATTTTATCTCAGTGTACGTTTGTTCCTGGAGTATTTTAGCCTTGGGGTGTTTTACTTGCTATGTATTCTAAAGCGAATGGTAGGTCTGACTTAGACCTTTACGATTTGTATAATTAGATGTTGCACAACCGCCGACTTATTTTTGCAGGCCGTATAATTATTAGCGACAAAGGGATTGGTGCTAACGCTTCGTTTCGCAATATATTCATGCAAATAATACTGTGTAACTGGGAATAGGAATCAGGCGACCAAGTACAAGAGCATGGTGAAATTTGAACTTTAACAAGGACGCAATTGGGAGAAAAGTGGGTTTCTAATCAAGAGAGAACACTTGGCGACGGATGCTTTGCGCCGTCTAAAGGATCTAACAAAGTCCGCTGCCTCTTTAGGTTAATGAAGAATGCCGACTTGCTAACCGCTAACGCAGACGCAGTCGTTGGAGGCCCGAACTGTAATTTAAGGTAAACGTGTTTTTTTTTTTTTTTAGCTTTAATTGCCATAGTTTTGCCTCAGAGGTACGTTTAATATTTAGCCTCGCCAATAACATATGGTGAACAATTAATTTCCCGACTCGCAGGCTTCATATAAGCACTGCTAAACTCTGGCAACAAAGGATCATTGTCCGACGTTGGGGGTGCCTATTCTGCGACAAACGAAGTAGATATCATAGCTCGTTAAACTGAGACCTGCTATGTGCTATGTACTAACACAGCTATCTTTCCATAGTTTTACCTGGTTGGGTAAGGTAATACGACAAGCAAAAAATCGTTCTGGTGAGGAATCCGATGGTACTAACACAGGCAGAAATATTAAATCGTATGTCCTTTCATGGCCGTATTTCGCACACTTAGGTTGCGTAAGGCCATTTATGTATTGATGTTTTATGCAAGAGTAGAATTATGTCCTCGGGAGGTGATATGTTGCACTTATCGTCGATATCTGCAGCTTGACATGTGATTTTCCAGGTTTTACGAATAGATAACGACTTCATTACTTCTGCGTATGGCCAATGGTATTGTCCCAGGTGAGGCTTTAAGGCGGAATACTTCTAATGGCGCTATCTTTTTTTTGCACCCGATAGCCGTGTTGCTTCCTTCGAAGAGGCGTTCCGTAATACGTATTTTGCGTTATTATTAGCTAAGCTGTGTTATACTCGTACATTGAGCAGAGATACGCGTAAATATTTTAATGGTTTATCCTATAACGGTAAGTCCACAGTTTAGCTCGCCTAGTTCTTCCCGATCAGATCACTTTATGAATGTCCGCTAAATCCATTATCATGAAGCTTTCGACAATGCAATGTTATTTATGCGGAAATCGCGAAACTTCTTTTTTTCATACCAGCACAATTGGCCGTTGTCACAAATAAGTTCATCAATACGATCTGCGATCATTTTTATTAAGGAAACTGACCTCAGATTCTCTGTTACGTTCGTATGTTGCTGAAAAATGAATTTGTCTTGTCACTGTTCGATTGGTTGTCATATATACTTTCAATTGAGCCCTGATAATAATTTACAGAAAAGTACGCTTTTAAGAAAAAAAATTCCATCTTGCGTATTGCTACGGCATTAAAGCGGACCAAAGACCTTCACGTGACCGGAAACGCTAGGGGATCACGCACCACATCCCGATCCAAATACAAAGCGCTGGATTTGGGTACTTCGTAATATATTTTCGGATTACACATCCGTTATCTCTGGTCGAAACGATCATAATATATCTATGGTATAGGTAGTTAGACCATTCACCTCTGGTGTATCTAGCCGGAAACGGCTGACTGCTTCGAACGTCTCTCCGTTTGTTTTCGTTGTTTCCTCACGCGTTAAACAAAATATACTTCCATAGGTGCCTCAATCTCGTACCGATTAAGAAGCCAGCGTCACGTCTGTAATTTTTCTCAGGCCGCGTTATATAGGAATCATTTATGTACTAACTTCCGAAAACATACACGTATAGAAATAATTTCCTTCATTTGCATGCACTGCCTATATACCGTATTCATCTTTCGTATGCTACATTGAAGCCTCTGAGGACAGTGGATAATATCCGAAATGGCATCAATACCTGTACTTTTATCACATCGATATCCCCGATTCTATACTGTGTATTGATATAAATAAGACGTATTTGAGAATGTGTACGTTATCACCTTAAAAAAATAAGATTACTTAGAATGAGCTTGGTGGATGCATGCGGACCCGGCTGCTACGTAACTTTGGCTGAATAAGTTAAAAAACACAAATCAAACATGCTGGACATATCAGAGATAGAAAGCTCATTTTGATCGATCTGTTAAAGTGACGAAACAGGTAATAATAAGTCTAGCGTGATAAAGTGTCTAGTGAAATCGTTTCGCAGACATGCACTAATAGATAATCTATACGACTAGTAGATCGACGTATTACATAAGGTGATAAAAATGCAAGCCCAATAAATCGTAACTGGACTCATTACTAGCCGATAGCATCTGGGTCAAAGTGAACTAGAAATGTGGCCACTTCGGGTTGCTTCAGGGCGGAATTGATAGAAAAACTAAATAACGCGTACCGGAATTTTGGACAGCTGTTTGGTAAACTAGGCCAAGTCCTGGCCAGCCACCGCAGCTCTAACTTGCGTGTTTCACGTCGTTTTTGCTGGCCATTTCTCAACGAAGTGGATTCGCCCTCTGGACATACGTGTTATAAACATGTACACGTTACGGTTCTTATAGAATGACACAGAATAAACTTTACAAACGGCGAATGTGTAATTGTCTGTTTTGCAAATGCAAGCATATAAAGCGCACGAAAGTTACGCGCAAACTTAGACTTCTAAATGAGGATCAAATTAGTCATAGAGATTGCTAGTATATAGCTGTTGCTGGCTATGAAGTTAATAATAATAGTATTCTTCATAAGGATATAAGTGCCATAACTTCTTGCTATTAGCAAGAATGGCAAAACTTTACTATGTTATTTTAAGCAATATGTACATATATTCATAGTAGTTCTAGTGTACATATATTAATCAACAGTGTAGTTAGTAATTAGCAAAGCCATTCAACTGAAGGCATGAACTTAAGGCCAGAAGGTAAGTAGCATTTATCATAGAGCCTCAAACCTGAGCTATAGCGTTGGTTTAAACTGCGAAAGCCGGAGGCCTTCAGCCTTTTTCTAGGTTTGAGCCCGTTAGATTAAAGTTGTTCATGCAGGCTGGACGCTGCTGAGGTATCTCGGCCTTGCCCTTCCCCCAGAGCATAACTTCATCAAAAAAGCTAGACACCCAAGAAGACGTAACTCAAAGAGATAAAAACAACGCCCTTCAAGCTTCCGTACACGAGCTAAACTTACACAGAGAAGTAACCAGGGTCTTATCGCGTCACGTCGCAAGAAGGAAACTTTTCAGTGCGCGATAGTAATAGTTCAAGTGATTCATCTTGCTAGTTCGTATAAAGGTGCTGGCAAATATCCTTTTATCGGTTACTAATTTATGCCGATAAAGGAGTATTTGAGCACATCCTCAAGGATTGGCAGCATTGGTAAGGGCGTATAATAATGATACGTTCACGTTTCGTATACGTTCTAAACCATTTTAACGCAGTTTAGCTTTATTCGTAACCTCATTGAATTTATGAAGAATATATATAGATTTTGTTACAGACCAATTTTGTCGATCGCGCCGTACTCTAATGCGATACCTACGCGGTTATGGTCCCAAAACCAATTCAATCTATTGTCGGTACAATTAAATAGAAAAGCAAACAAATCATGAATACAGGTGCAATTCGTTTTGTACAGGTTCGTTTAAATATTACCTAGTACTCGTAACGTGGGACAAATCGGTTTTCCGCCATGGCATATACCGATGCCTCGATTACATGTTCAACTTATGATAACTTAATATTTCATTCATACACATAATAAGAGATGATACACATACTATATCTCGTATGTACACTGTTCGACAGTCGCGAAGCGTCAAAGCAATTGTACTCATCAGATGCGTCTTGTGCCAAATACGAATTTCTAAATTCAGCGAGACTTCACTCAAGTGAAAATGAGTAACCGTATAACAAATATAACCACAAAAGACTCTATGACGCGATGATACAGTCACGGCTCGTCGTAAAAATACTAGAAATAGCAGTAAACAGCGTAATGTCGTTCTATTTTGAATAGTCTCCTAGATGCACACGCAGCATCCAATGTGTACGCAGGTACATTTTATATATATATATATATATATATGTATAGGAAGTCATTTCAGTCAATATGATATTATTATTTACAGCAATGCTAGATAATAATAGAACAACAACCAAACATACAAACTGTTCTCTAGTTGACCTTCTTTAACTTATCACCATTTTGTGGTTACAAGAGAGCTCTACGGGTAATTGAACTATTGTAGAACCTCGTCGACTGTTTGTTTAAGGCCCTTAAACGACTTGAAAAGTAACCAGTAGTGAGTTTCTTTTTAGGACCTTTTGTAGAAACAGTATCGGACTATGACTGATGGAATAAGTACGTTAGCTTTACGGGTATGCATACATAAGTTTTTATATAAACCCTAACTGGGATGACATGAGGAGGCGTGCGTCTGCTTGCCGAAGTTACAGTAATCGCTTTGCGCCCCGTTCGCCGGTTCTCTATCCCCGCTTCTACATTGATCACTGAAATGTTCGCGCATATTACTGACGTCGCTTTGTGATGAAGGGACATACTGGCTTTTGCTGGTCGTCAAGGCCTTCAATGAAATCATCGCAGATTCCGTTGACATTGGCTGCCTGAGCGCTCTCAAATCGTTCGAGAATCCGTTTACGAATTAGATGACGAATGAATGAGAAACCTAGTAGTGAGCTTTGGAAGACGGCCTTGAGAACCCACAAGCAAAATCGGTCAGCGTTTGTCAGACGATAGCTACCGTCGATTCCGCAGACCTGTTAATCAATAAAATATAAGATAACATCATAATGATTTCGGTTTGTTGGAAAAAAACTAACATGCTGCTGTATTTTTACTCTTTCTACTACTCTTGGCATTGCAACCGATAGCTTAAGAGGGAATCTGTGGTTACCCAGTTGTGTCGTCATTGTAGCGAACCCCCATTATCTATGGCTCGGGTGATACGAGTCACGGGTCCAGTGTAAGTACAGATATCGGTTACATAGGATCGTTACGGGCGTGCTAAGCGCTTGTCCGAACTGAAACGGTTATGAGGCTGCATTGCAGGGGAGGTCTAGTTAAAAGGAACCACAAACACCGTGCGCTTGTATACATAGTATTCGTGTATGGGAGTTTGTTCTTGTATGTGCTTGAGCTTCATAAGCAGAAGCCTGCGGTCACCTGAAGTTCGCTAGACAAAAAACGAAAACAGAGCGTAAGTTGTTTTTGCAAAGCATTTTAATTTCCACATACACACTGCCGCGGAACCAATACCTAAACATACGGAGCTGCTCCGACGCAATCGTATAACTTGTTTGCGAGCTTCACACAAAAGTTTTCCCGCATATCCATGGCCCGCCCATGTCATAAATTCTACCACTGAATATAAGCTATTCAGCCATTATAAATGTATGTCTGGTATATATGTGCATGTCCATATAAGGAAAATAATGAAAAGACATTTCGTAATTAGCGAATATTAGTGCCATTACTGTTCAGCTCGAACGTAAACGTCGTTTTGCTTTGTAATCGAGGTGATTTGTTACCCTTTGAGTAATTTCCCTTTTTATCTAACGCAAAAAAAAATGATACAAACAGATACTCTTGATTGTATCAAAAACGAGCTTATACACAAATTAACGTTAGTGTTAGGCTCATTTATTTGTGTAGGTTAATGTTAAACAGTTCTCCACTTAAATATCTGGAAAATTCATTTTTAAGCTTGAAAATACAAATAGTTGTATCAAATCATTAAGGGCAAGCTTTGCCTACCATGTTATTAGTCATTCAGTAATTCAAAGCAAAGAAAATTTTCATAAATTTAAAAAAAAAGTAGGCCACTTCAAAGTTCAACGGAGTAAGATAAAAGGTTTCTGGTTATAAAGTTATCAGAAATCGAAGTGTATGTATTGCTGGCATGTTAGCAAATGATGAGCCTCATAAAATGCTCCTACTAGAATAAGCTATCACGTTGAATCGGACGAATGTATCAAATTTTAAAATCAAAAGGAAAACTGGCTGAAGTCTGCAGCTCTACACAAAAACAAGCCTTGTGAGCCTTCAGACAGCTTCACACAAGCCAGCTCTAGCCATATTATCCATATTGGCCGTAATGATCTACCTTTGTTGTACAGTTGCAGAATTTTCAAAACTTACGTCATACATCCCGCAATTCGGCATTTGCACCGCACTGGATAAAAAACGAAATGCCACCATGAAGCAATTTTATATAAATAATATATCTATATAAATAGGGTTATCCCACATATACGCATAATGAGTGGATGTATGAATCGAATGGAAATTTTCGGTGCATGGACTATATATGGTTAAATAGATGGTCCTGTATAGGACCATCTATTTAATTTTATATATATATATATATATATATATATATATATATATATAATATTTAGTTTGACAACATTATTTCAAAGTTACTTTATTTAACTTTATACTTTAAAAATGTGAATTGAAGTTGAAGTGAATCCAAATTTAATCATGTTTATAGATAGAGAAGTTTATACTGAAACTATTTTTGCAAAAGTCCCGAACTGTAATTTCTATTTTAACCCGATAATGTTGGATGCTGGGACGCTCATGTTTAAACGTACAAAAAGAAATCCATTAATTTTTTTTTCTGTTATCTACGAGGAACTAATTGTTCTCCTTTAAGAAGAACTCTGACTTGCTCTGTCTGACCCATATCTTATCGTCATGCACTTCATGCGCAATAGCAGTTGTCTATAATAACACGTTTTAGACATCAGACACGAATTAAGTTATTAGGAAGGATTGTTGCGTACATGTTTTGACGCACATTTTTTAGAAATAGTTGGGCCGTTATTTACCAATTCAATATAGCCCGTATGATGATGTATCTTTAAAAATGAATTCTGTGAATGGTTGATCGTTTATCTACCTAGTAAATTTAAAATCAAGTGTTTCCATATCGACTAATATCTTATATCCCATAAATTACTTAATGCGGGCAGAAGTTTGTATAAAAAACATATATATATATATATATATTATCGACGCGGTGGCTTAGACGGTCCAGCTTCTGAATGGAAAAAGAGAAAGTAAACTGCTTCTAGTTTCGTTTGCGTCACATACTAGTCTGAATGAGTGAGGAAACCTATAATATAAAGGGTGAATATTGTAAAGTAAAACTGAGCTTCGTCTGTTAATAAACCAGCTTTTGGAAAATTGGTGCCAGCGACAAAGTGTATGTCCAATTAAAAACATAATGCTCCCAAATGAGGGGACAAAGTAGAATATTAATATAGAAATATGTAGAATAAAAAAATATATAGAAATAACCGCAAATATGATCTTGTTTCAATTCAATGTTTAGCGATTTTCGCAACAGTTCCTATGCAGTATGTTGATTAGGCGAAAACATGATATTATCCTTATAGTTTTGTTGGATGAACGAGGGGGAGTTTTGGCTCGAGAATTGATCCTGTCCACAACGTATCTAGTTTATCAGAGGCCAAATAGTGACCATAAATTGAATGGGCTCTTTGTATTTTTTCCCAAAACGGTCCAGCATTACCGAATGATGTGTATATTGCTCATTTGTGAGAGTTGGGTTATCATTGCGTATAATGTTGGGTGTGGGTGTCAGCCATATTCTAAAATAACTACACAACTACAGTGCGGTAATGGCGCATCCTCAATTGGGCAACTGATAGAGAAGTTGGAATGGTTACGAGTATCTATATGAGGGTAACTGAATAGGCGAAATAAGATAAATAGAAATTGTTGTCATTATAAAACCGGATTGCTAAATTAAGCTGCTGGAATGACCACGCTAAAATAGCGGGCGGAATGACTGGAAAAGGAAAAAGCTGAATTAAGTGAGGCTGGAGCTGTAATGAAATCGCTATAAAGGAATAAGAAGCATAATTAGAACTCGCTAGTCGTAAATCGGCGACTTAACAGAGTTCGCTTTACGTTCAATCAAAATAAATTACCGAACAGTATAAATTATGCAGTTAAACGAACGTTTAGTACGATACGTGTTCAGAGCCGCTACGAGTGCACCGATGCGTCGTGTTGTTCGTTGCCACCGAGGCCGAGTAGCTTCCGATACCAACTTTAACTTATCACAGAACATTTCTTTCACTGGGCCATTTTTCGCTGTTCGTATATTTTCTCTTGTGCCAGTATTACCGATAAGTTATACTAGACAACTATAGTATGCAAAACGAAAGCAAACTCAACTCTTGATAAATTGACATCAATGAATACGAGCAATACACGTACTTGCGCAAAAAACGTGATGAATGCTGGATAAGTGAGTGGAATAAGGCGGCCTGGGGCCGCCGCGAGTAAAGCTTCGATGACGCTTTCTCCCAGCTTCATCTGCCCTCGAGTGCAGGAAAGCAGTGCCGGTATCACCTCGCGTTCGGACAAATTTGAGTTGAAGATACGAAATGCCTTAAGGCCCTCCGAGCAGGTGTTGTATTCATCAGAGATACCCATTAGGTAGCCTGAACATGGAATAAACGATTGAAAAACGAAAGCTTAAATTGTTCTAATATTTTACATATGACCAAATCATCTTCATAACCATAAATCTACCTGATCTTATTACTGCTTCGTATCTGTTTAGGACACGGGAACCTTATGCTAACTTGTATAGCCAATAGTTTTCTGAAAATGCCTATTGATAACATTAAGCGTAGCGAATGTTTCTTATTCGAATCGGACAAATTAAAGGCGGCCTATTACGAGCCTACTACGTGGGCAATTAGATGCGTGGATCTAAAATTTATTGCCCTCCCAAAGAATCTTTCTGGAACCTTTTCAGGGGCCGTCATCATTTACGGGAACTAAATAAAATGTATGGCTGCTGTAGCTTTACATTTACTTTCATGAGCTGCGGAATAGGCAAACCAAATACAGAGCTATGCTAACGTGTGCTCGTTACGAAATTCATCGAACTCAGACAGATACGCCTATCCGTACTATATCCTATGTGATTTTCAGTCATTTTTCAAATTCAGAAGATTTTTATATCAAGCAAATGTTTAATAAGATCGCTATTGAACGTTGTCGTATTCGTGTTTTTTTGCTGTCTACATGAAGAGATCGAACGCATCGCTCATCTCGCCCCATCATTTGTACTACATGATCGGAAGCGTTCCATAAGACGCTTTGAATCGACCAAGTCATGTGTTTACATTTGGATAGAATTGATCTTTCAGAACCAACCAATTCCAGTCGGAATTTCTGGTAGAGTCGTGACCATTCGGTTCTGTTTTAGGTAAACGAAGCGGTCGCTATTTGTAGGAGTTTTTGATTCAGTAGCATAGTCACTATGTGAGTGGAGCATGAAGTCGTAAGCTCGAGTCTGCAACCTAAAACGACCAGTACGGAAGTACTTTTGCTTGTACTAAGTATTCTCAGCCTCGAATCTTTCTCACACTCATAGACACTATTTGAGATTTGGGTTGCTATTATCTAAGCGTCCAACTTCAAGCGTGTTAAGGCACGACTCTAGTTACCTATGCTGATTTAGCTTCTAGCGTCGAAACAAAATCAGAAAGCGTTATCCGCGCAAGCGTCTCTCAAACAAAATCAGAAATCGTTTATATGAGGCCTTGTGTCTTAGATTGTTGAGCCTTGTTTCACCGCATCCTTCAGGTTAAAGAAGCATCTTATTGCTATACTATTTCTATGATAATATAATAACTGTGTGATCGAACAAAGCTATGACGAACAGAGTATTCCGAGTGGCAGCACTCGGTCTTCAAAAACAACTGACTCCCCCACGAAAATAGAGAGCCAGTGAGATGAAGATGTAGACTAACGTTTGAAGAATTATCGATTTCATAGAATATGTTGTCTGTACAAGAGCTCTGCAAGGTAGTGACAAATGACATCTTGACACTCAATCGTATTAATTAGCTTTCGCACAATATTCAGCGCACGTAGATGCAGTCATAAGATTACCCATTATGCCGTTTTTAACAATAGCCAAATAGTCGAAGTAAAAAGTGCCTCTCAACCGTTGGCTAGAGGCTAGACTATATAATGGCAACCTCCTTTGTAGTAACAGATCAATGCAGGGTGAATTGTCATGCTTACCTATACATCGCCAATAGTGTACAATACCCTCGAAGTCCTTCTCTTTGAGATGGCCAAGCCCAACCTTGCGAGGGTACATGACCATCAACCGAATGAAGCTGCTCTGCGTGCACGCCATCCAATATTGACTGATCCACCGTTCCCCATTGGGCCGTGTTTCCAATCGCTCCATGTAACGGTTGGCAGCGAGGTGCATCTTGCGAACTCGCTTGACGCTCTGGTGTCCTGAAGAATGTCATATTGACTGATTTATATTTTATTCTCGTGAAATACCGACTCCTCCCCCTTCTACTCTTGGGATGGTGGATGGGATGGGTTTAGACCATTTATAAGCTGATACTTTTAAGATGTATTGCTGAATGGAACAAGATAAAAGCTGATCCGCTTGGATAGAAGTGACCTGCTGTTTTCGTTTCTGCGCCGGGAAGCTGTACCGGGTATTGTTTTAGGGTCTGCATCTGTTGAAGCTAATGCTGCTTTTCTTAATCGATCATTCCATGGTATACTTTATTTGTAATGTAGTGGGCCGTATAATACTCTTATATCAATGGACTACGAACATTCTTGCACCAGCTTCCTCTGGTACAAAAATGTTCGTTTGGAACAATCTAAGAGATAGAACATAATACTGAACATCGATGTGACATTTATTTAATCTAGGAAAAATCAATCTTTTATCAAACAAAACAAAGTTTACGTTCCATCCATCTTTTAACGGCACTTCGAAGTTGTGACATTTAGCGTTGCGCTTTCTTCGGATTGTTCGGAATGAAAGTTCACTGTATAATGATAATAATAGCCTATATAAAATAGCAAACATCTTGTTACTGTCCAAGCATTGCCTGTGTTTTTTTTTTTTTTATTTATCATGATTAGATCGATAGCTGTAACTGTAAATTTAATCTATCAAAAAAAAAAAAAAAATGGGCGCATACCGTAGGTTGCAAATTAGGTAAAAGGAATTGAATAAAAATGTCCTCTTGATGCCATGATCCAACGGAGGGTTGAAGGTTCAAGAAGACTTGCAGTGGACTTCGTCGTTCGGAGAGAACGAAAAATCATTAGAAATTTAATCTCGAGTAATCTGGAAGCTTGCGTACTCAGCGTCTTACTTTATAGGTACTAAGTCATTTTAGCTTCTGAAGTCTATAGAATTCCGCTGTACAAATGATCAGCGAATTCACTGGTTTCCGATAAACGTATGCACACTGCTTACATGTGCCATAGACTAACTCGATTTCGAGCTCAATCTCTAGTCTTTCGCAATGTAATTACTACTGGACGAACAGTACGGACCGCTTTAAGTGCTGAGCGCCACTCTTACGTTATTTGACAATAGGTTTTTTTGTTTTTTTTTTTTTTTTTTTTGCAAATATTGAGTGTGCCTATGCATTGTGGAATCATTTTTACTTAGGGCGATTGCTAAATAATACGGAAAGTGTGCAAACTCGGGCAGAAAAAAAAGCGCATGAAAGTGTAGTACCGTGTCTGTATTCTGTGCTTTCGTTGTTTCGTGTTTGTTTTTAAGTGTTGCAATAACGTTTAGATATTTATTTGTAACGACCGTCGAAATGCACAGTCTTCTTGCTATTTTAATGGCGTTTACCGATGGCTGCTAAAGCTGAGGTTGGTGGTAAAGTGTTCCTTATCAATTATCTATTGTACTGAAAAGAAGCATCGGGGTGCGCTGTGACATTTATCAAAGGCCTAATAAAAGTCAATAATAACATATGTTTGTCTTTAGCTGATTTTGGCTTAGGTAAACGCACTAGAAAAAATGTCAAAAAAGATCAACGATGTGTGGGATACGGATAAGCAAGCAGAAAAATCTGAACATTCATACTTCAATTTTATAACGGCTAAAAGACACTGGCAATATTATCTTATCTATATATTTTCATCATTAATTACGTGACGATTTTATTTTAAATTGATAATACCGCACTGTTGTTATAGGGGTACTACGTTCTAACAGAAACTGGGCACATTGTCAAATAAAATACTAAATAAATAATAGCTACGAAATAGACATGTTACATCCAATAGGGCTATATCGTCGAAAAAGTATTGACCGTTTTATATCAAAATTGAGAAAAATCTTTTTCATATGTTAAGGTAATATTGCTACGGAAAATAGGCATTTTTTTTTGATCGATGACTCTTGCATTTTTGTGCATAGGTCCATCAGTGTAGGGGTCCTGTGGTTTCTGGGCGAACAATTGTTTTTAACAATAATTTTTGAATCCCTTCATTAAACTTAGCACCATTAAGGGAACTTTGCAAAGACCGAAAGAGATCATAGCATGACAGTGGATGAATTGTTGTGATGAAATACAACGTCCCTTCTCCACTAGGACCAGTTGATTTTCTTCAATGACCTATTGTAGTCTACTTAATTGCTGACAGGATATGCTCGAGTTAACTGTTTTGCCAGGCGGCAGCAACTCATAATGCATCAAATACATGCCGTTACCTTCTGCAGCATGAGGCTGGGCTTCGTTAACGGGTTGGAGTGAGTATTTTCTTTTCTTTTCTTAATTTGTACTTTCTTGTCCCATTTGAGACACTAAAATTATCACCCGTAATCAAGCGCTTTAGAGGTAGCTCGATGATCTTATCTTTTTTTTTTTTTATAGAACTTCGCAGGTTCGCAGTTCATTTTCTTGCGTCAATTCGTGTGGCACCTAAGCAGCAGCGAGCTTCTTTTCAACCAGCCTCTTTCAAACGGAGTTAGTAGTAAGTGCTCGACATCTTGTCAATACCAGGGACAGTCACGTGTCGCTTTTGCTTATCTTTCGCAATGATCTCACAAACTTTGTTTGTAATTGGTCGACCATTTTGTTGGAACATTGTTCACATGGAAATTCTCAGATCGAAAGCAACAGAACCATTTTTGGGCCAATTCTTCCTATAGTTCATTCTGAGCAACATAATTTTTTTTATGGGCTTGGCAGCGTTCATGCCACTATTGTAATCAAATTGTAAGATACAGAGAATGCTTACAGAGCTTTTACGCACCTTCAAGGCTGTCTATCCTGCGTTTAAAGAAGTGCATTCCAGCGATTCGAGCATATCTGCAACCGCTTATGTCAACTTTCAGACGATAGCAACGCTGACCCAGCGGGACTTATAATACCTAAGCTATCTGACTTTGAAGCCATCCATCTAGAGAAACGGTCAATACTTTTTAATTTTTTTTTTACAAAATGGTATCAAAGGCACTTTTTTTTTGTCGTCTTTCTACAAAGAACGCCAACGAAATATTGCTTTACTTCTACTGAGAGCCCTATACCTTCAAGCGCTGTACTGCTGTGGCCAAAAGCCGTAATGCGTCTTGCCATTACACAACGGTGTATCGTTAAATACAGTAAAATTAAAGTTTCTCTGTTACGTAAAGGGTTACTATGTCGTTCAGTTCACATTTATTTTTTTTCTAGAACCTAAACGCTATAGTGGTTCCTTTGAGATAATGAGCGCTCGTATTCCATTGCAGTAGTAACGCTATTCGCGCTAGACAAACATCCAGAGTTTAGACTACTGATTTCGGCCATTAAGTCCAACAATTGCAGCCGTGTACAAGCATCAATGATTTAACCTAATGATACCTTCTGATGATGGGTCGAAAACATCGGTCCGATACCAGGACAGCACCTGCTTCGTAGTTGAGACGTAGCGGCAGGCCAGTGCCCTCAAAGTGAAATGCTGTCCATTGTGAAGGAGCACTTTGTATGGGACCTCGCTGGACATGCCCAATACCAAACTCGCCAGGTGGCAGAACAATGCCCTGCGTAGGTGGCGACGATGATGATAGCAACAACCCCATTAACAACGACCACAGAACGAACCAAACGAGAAAGAGACAAAATATACCGAAAAGTTATTTGCCTTCATTCAGTTAAACGATATATTTCTATGCACCCGTGTGACTAACTAATGCGAAGTAGCTGAATCTTACTTACATAAGCGGAGCGTTCGATACAGATACGTAGCCGCGTTTGCTATTTACGTCTATTTGTCTATACAATACCGGCTAATGTATCTGCGCTAAGCGGCAAAATTGAGTTGCCTATTCATTTTTAGTGAGTAGTCTTCAGTTCCTTGAAAATTCTCTTTAACAATTGAAGTTACGGTAACTTCTTCAAAATTTCCAGATGATAATCCTGACTGGTGCATATACAAATCACAAATACCACATGATGACATTTCTATCAGTAGTTACTAACACATGGATAAGCAAACATTCTAAAGTCTTCTACTTATGTTAGTTGTTGTCACAATCAACTAAAAAACTGTGAGACACTAAAACTATAGACATAGAAATCTTGAATCAATAAATGTCTGAACATGGTGTAAATAGATCTTCTGTCAATTTAAAGATCCGAGCACGAATGAAATAGACGAAAATTACCTCTGAGTGGTAACGGGTAAGCCGTTGTGGACAATTACCCTTGGCCACTGTCAGGAACCCACTATACGTGGCCCCATGAACACTAAGCGTGCACTCGTCACGTTTATCTATAATGTGACCATTATACAGCCCATTCGCACAGGTAATGCTTATTATATATTTAGGCATGACGGAAAAATCTAGAGCCGCGAAACGATTTACGCAAATTCGTAGATATAAGGCCTTCTCAGGCCAATATTTTCAACTCATTCCTGACTCAAGTCGCGTATTAAATGTGTCAAGAACAAAGGCAACGTAAAACCCCTAAAATAAACGCAAATGCAGTCTCTAAAGTTAACGTAACTTAAGTTTCAGCTTTTTGCTTAGTCTAACCACAAATCGTACGAGCCAATCAATGTGGAAGCAGGCTAAGAGTCGACCGGAAAGAACAATATATCAGTTTGAACGCCCACAATCCTATTTAGACAAATTGATTATGGCAGGCGTCTAAAATGGCGTAGACACACGTCGTTTCATGTTGGGAACGAACGTGTGTTTGAAACCGTGGTAGACAGCAGCGTCGGACGAAAAACCTCAAACGCCTATTGGTGTTCGAGGTGATTCTTAACGGCAGCTCTAGACGTAAAAATCCGAGTACTTATTGTAAAGATGGTACAAAACTAGACTACCAATTAAACTCTGGTATTGCCCTACTGCATTTGCTGTCCCTTTGAGGTTCAATTGCAAGCAATTTGTCTATTACGTAAGCGTCAAAAAGCACGTAAGCATCCGTTACGTACGATAGTTTTCAGATCAGTGTTATTCTGTGTTCCACTATTGCAGGAATCTATTTGCCGATAGAAGCAAACGATTCTACGTCCCAGAAACCCTATTGAAAGCAAAGAACTTACGTAATATTATAATGTAATATATATAGTTATTAATAAACTATCGTAAACCACCGGAACATAAAATTACAGTCGTCAACAGGTCGGCTGCAGCTTAACCTCGAAATACCGCATCGTAAACGGTATTGTGTGATTTCTGCATATTATATAGCCTTTAGAAAATGAGTGAGGCGCCTGCAGTGCCTGCAAGCCTTTCGACGCTGGTTGGGGACCCTTCGAAATTGGTAGAACTCATAAAAGTAGCATACGATAGCATGGAAATAGTGTTTTATGCGAAATAATCGGGTCATAAATTATAATTAATGTATTTAGGTATGTCTAGGCCATTTTCAAATCAACTCAACCCAGACTTTCCAAACGAAACTTCACGACAGCCTGCCTAGCTCGTCTCATTCGTGTGACTCGTCATAATCTTTAACGTACCTCACTCGTTACAAAGAAGGCAGCGTAATAATTAATAGAAATCGGTGGTCGGTTTGAATAAATTAACGAAGAAATATTTTAGTTCTGTTCCGTTTGCAAAATACACACAGTATGTTTGGTGTCCGGAAAACAGGCTATGGTGGCGTTGCCCAGAAAGGATGCCGGATATTCAAAATTGCGGTTAATGTTAGATATCGATATTTAATTCAGGCCGCTTCCAAGCAACAGATAATAGGATAGTTCTAGGACAGATTCGAGAGAAGGGCTTGTAGCAACGCAAATAGGTGTTTCATGGACCTGCACATCGAAGATATCAATGCCTAACTATCCTTAAAGCGTGCATGGCGTAACAGGAGTAAACTTGAGGTTTTTTTTCGGGGCATTTCCGCAATAATAAAAGTGTACGTTTATTTTCTCTGAATTTTCCCAGAGCATGTATTAGTGGTAGATTGTGCATTATGAGATAGAGTCAACTCGGCGCGCCGGTACGTCCACCGGTGTGGACGATATTCAACATATCACAAGATGCTCAAAATTGCCTCTCATCGAGTTTCAAATAAGATCACTGATTAGGTGACAACAGCACCCGTACAAACGTACACCACCTTGTTGAGGCTATAACTATGGTCTTGAAGACTATTCACAAACCTTAATCTATGCTATGATTTACCCAGATAATTTATTAATTTTTTTTTCGGGTTATTTTGATTAAAAAAAAAAAAAAAAACTGTCTTTTGGTTTAGTAAACGAATTCAACTATTACCGACGGCAATGTTTAGGTTTTTATCGTCGTTTAGGTTTTTAGGATCGTACTGTGGTTGAATACGAGTTCACCAGTATAGAAACGGAGGCACTGCAGAGCATTCCGTTCGGTAGTTTTGCGGTTAGTTCAGTTTAGCTTGTCTGGAAGAGGAGATACACTTCTTTCAGGCATTGGATATATATCAACAAGATGTGATGGTCCAGAAGCTACTGCTCTGTTGTTGTGGGAATAATATTCGACAGAGTCGGAAAGTCACTGGCTTTCGATGAGATGGCGTTCATGAACATTTTAGAACAGAGTGACCATGAATTTACCAATGGATTATTTGTTACAGACTGGCCTAATAAAATCAGCCTGCACATCTCTGCGTACAATCAATTTTTGGGTTTCTCGAATAAAACCCGCCCTGTATATTTCAAGTGTTACTTCTGCCGTACGTTTGCATGTAAAAATCGAGCCGAACCGGACATAATCCATGTGCGTGTCTCCAGCGCCAGCAAGTCGCACTGGCCCCCATGTCTTTCGGAAGTGTTTTCACTGAACACTGTTATTATGTTCTAGGTTTTTACGTAGCACAGCCTATCAATGAATGATCCAGCAGAGAATTTCGGCGGCATAGGTTCGGTAGAAATATCCAATTCGAGAGTGATATTGAAGGGCAGCAATCAATACAATGAACTTAGCGTTAACACGGAACAAGGTTCTGCATGCACAAACGGACTCACACAAATAAGTTATCCCAAAGTACTTTTCTTCCCCTCTCGTAAAGTTCGGCATTGAGCCACGATGGCTTTTCGAAACTATTTCCACAGTCACCGGCCTCGTACAGGCCTTTCTGGAAGTCTTCGAAGCTTTTTCTAGAGAAGGCAACGTCCTCTCTAGGTCCAAGATTAACAGAGTCAATATTCACTATCACGTCATGCGGTTGTTTTCGTTGTTCATTACTGCTGTTGGTATTCCTATAGTTATTGTTGAAATTACACTGTGTCACATTTTTCGAGTCTGATTTATCCATTGTGTAATTTCATTTACTTATCGAACAACGTAAGGAGATTACGACGCGATTCTTCTGCATCTGATTCTGTTCCAGTACTAGTCTACCGCTTTCGCTTCCAGCATTAACAGCAATAGGAGAACGTGTAGAAGTCGCGAGCCGTCCGAAGGATCGCGACGCGCTCACGACAGTTCCGCGTGGTACTGCGTCGCGTGCGCCACCATCACCGCAAGCAGTCACACGGCTCCAGCCACGCCGCTAGTGACTTCTGGTGGCGTCGGGTAAACGGTGCAGCTGTTATTGAGAGGATCTCAAGGTCGTCCATTGGATCAGCTGTTCAGAAAGACGTTGCTATATGCTACGTGTTGTTCGATCGCCCCTATCTGCAGTAACCACAACTCCGAGCTACGATTAACGCTTTGCTGCAAAAAGAGTACAGACGTTTGGGCCACTGTTTATATGTATGTGTGTATTGTTTGTGTTTATCTGTGACAATACGAAAAAACCTGCTGTAAAACCAGACAATGGCAGGGACAAGGCATATCGAGGTAACCGGGACAACCTATGACATCTTATACGTAACGGCCCCGCCAGCAGGAACAGCGAATCGTTTATCGTATACTGAAGAGCGCGAATAAAAATCAATGTCGGAAAGAAAATGCAAGGGAAATTTTGCCGACGAAACATGTGTTCTATAATGAATAGCGTGAAAAAAAGCAGCTTTAACTAATAACGTGAAAGAATAGAGATATAATATAATTACAACACTGACAGTTTGTAAACTTATCAGCGAGTCAATCGGCAATTTTAGATAGGGCAAACGAGCGTAGTAGATTATTAAGCTGCGCGGAAATTGTAGATTCAATGATATGGATAATGGGTTTGACTAGTCTTCAATGAAAATGTAATACGTTGATTTGTTGCACAGGTGACCAGGAGTGCTTCTCATCAACAAAGGTAAATCGGTTGGGGGTAACGGGCACGAAAGTGAGTTTAAATTGTACTGCTCGATGAAATTCTACTAAGAGATCTTGTACCGAAAAACTTAGCACGCTGTTAAAACACTAGGCAACGATTTGTGAAAAATCTGAAAATTATGGCCAACAGACGACTCAGATTTGTTCTCCAGGACACAAGGGCCCAAGGAATTCGATATCGCTTTACCGTTAGGTCGGTTCCGTTTTGCTGTTCGAAGGAAAACTTCTCAGTACGTAGTTGCTATCTGTATCGCCGGTGAAGTTAATATGAATAGTTTATCATCGAAAAAGTGCACCGAGGCTCACGGTGCATAGAGTTCGTGTTTTTGGTTGAGAAATAGTAATAGTTCTAATTCATGCGGCACAAGGTCGGAAGAGGTTTCGCGATTTAGGGGCTCAACAGCATATAGCGGTAAATATCAGCCGTAAGTTAATACAACCGAGTAAATTAAAAATATATCCAGTTACTCAACGAAGCCGTCCTAAGGAGAAAACGCTTTTGTGTGCCATCTTGTTAGACGCTTACATCATATTCCACCATAGAGCCCACACTGAATTTTGCGTAACGTAATATACAAATGGTATTTAAGGATGCGTGTCGTTGTTGTGGCAAAGAGCACCGTCAGTTTCAACCAGGATACTATATTTGACCCGGCCACTCCCCTCTCCGCTCGGAATTTTGCTAGAGAGCTGATACCGGAAACGCTATAGTCAGTTTCTGAGGGTTCGGACCTGACTAAGCTGTCGAAAGCACACATTGGAAGAACAAATGTATAATGTTACGTATATAATATGAGATATTCTACTCTTACAAATTTGTCGTTTCGTGTATGTATCAACAGAAAGATTCTGGAAGACAGCATCCTCAACAATGTCTATCGCCTCGCTGATTCCAGTCGCGGGTAGGACCAATTGTCGATTTTTTCCTATCCTTCCTTATTGTGCAGTCAAACTAATACTATTTTGGTTTTGCACTCTACACCGTAGTTTAAGTTAAAATTGGAAATATTATTTTTTTTTTTTATCAAGGGTAAGTGGTAAACTTAATTAGAACTGCGAGTGGACCCGAACCGCAGCTTGTACGCCAATAGCCTTGCTGCGCTCAAAGCCCTACGTTATGATTTAACGTAAAACGAATCACTGAAGCTTACAGATGAAATAAATAAGTTTATATATGGTATAGTATATATATATATATACTATACCATATATATATATATATATGGTATAGTATATATATATATATATATATACTATACCATATATATATATATATATGCCGTTTTAGATATAAGCGAACATTTTCAAATTTCAGCATGATATTGCCAAAAAAAAACATGCACAATTTCGGCCAGTGACCTTCGAACATTTATTGGCAACATCATAATTCTATTACTGTAGATCGTTTGCCGTTTCTAAGAGGAAAGTTGACTAGAAGTTTTTGCCTACCTTTATTAAAACCAAATTAACATCATTAAGGAAATTTAGGAATAGGAAAATTAAGGGAAAAACATAAGTCGAAACAGATCATAGCCTGACGGTGCAAAATCTGGGCCATACGGCGGATACGATAGAATTTTCCATCGAAGTTTGTCGAGCAGGCAAATATATATATTGATTTGATACTTGCATGGTGGATGATGGCGCTTTGTCTGTCACTAATTTTTATTATTTGAACAGCTTGCCGTGATTTTGTTAGGTGTTGACAATAGGAACCCAAATCAGTCGTTCTACGTGACAGCATAAATTAGTTATGCACAATTGGCCCTTTCTAGTTTCGCTAAACAAATAGCATAAGGTTCTAATCTTTGCGACAGATTTTAAAGTGCCTGTGTTTTTTTTTTATTATTTATCTGTTTCTGCATTATTTCTGCATGTGATCGACTTTTCACTGTTCATTTCGGTAGGGTTTCGCAGATCGAGATATGGTTGATTATTTTTTTTTGCGTTTCTTCATGTAACACCGATTTTTTTGCGGCAGCTTTCTTTAAACGGTTCAATACTGTCTCGTTGTGGATGTTTAGTTCCTTGGCAATACTATGGATAATTATAAGATTTTATTGCTTAACTTTCACAATCGCGGCCGATTACTACGAGGAGTATCTTTCATATTGAAATCTCCAGAACGAAGGCGACAGAACCATTTTTGGCCGTTTCGCCCAATAACGCATCATAAACAGCCCATATTTTTTTATGGTCTTGGGCAGCATTTGTGCCTTTATTGTAATCAAGTCGTAAAATATTGCGAATTTCGCCTATCTTCAAAGCACGCTATAATAATGTTCAAATCTGAATTAAGTCGTTCTAAACATTTTAGGGCATTTACGTTCAAATGACACCGAGCCAACATATAATTTGAGATAAGCTAGAAAAACGTTCAACGTAGATGTAGGCATGCGTCCGCTTGTTTACATATATATAATTGCGTATGAAAAACGGGAACGTTCGGTGCGGTATGGTAATACCGTCGTCAGAGTCTGCGGGGTTTTACGCGATGCACAGACGAATGGAGATATCCAGTCTAGGTTAACTAAAGACTGACTGGCCTTTAGCTAACTTGATACGGCCGCCTGCTATCGGCACTACTAACCGTGACCCGGTACTCCATAGAACTGCATGGATCCGCAGTAGCACACTAAGCTAGATTAGGTAAGTAGTAAACACGAGCCACCTAGATCATATCGTCGTTTATTGCCCGTATGATTATGTATACCCATATCGCGTAACGGAACAACGGTAGAGAGTGATGGGCCAGAGTGGTTACCTAGAGAGGTGAAGACAAACCCGGATCGCCGAAATTTAAATCAAAATTTTTACGGTCAAGTGTACGTGTGTCCCGCGACAGGGGCGCGCTAAAGCTGTTCAACAGCAATCAGTCAGATATTTTTGCTGGCGTCGCTAGCGCTAAACTAAGGAATACATATCGTAACTACGTGGAGAAAGGGGCTAACGCAAGTTCGGCTTATTGGTAATGTATTATTGCTCCGACAAGTAGAAATAGCTGCCTATAACTCTGTATACGTGCGAAGTATCGAATACGTACGTAGTAGGCAGTCAACTTTAAAGGATATTCCTTTGTTCAGAAGGCTAATGCGTATAACGATATGGGGAGATTTAGATTTGTATAGCTCGAAGATTAAAACATTCATCTCAAAGATCTTTGAAATAATTCACATTTATATAGTTAGACGCTCAAAACTACCTTAGCCTTCCTCAGTCTCGAGATATTTGAGAGTTCCCAGCATCGTGCCTAAGTCAAATAGTGCTGTCCGCTTCTTTTAATGAGGATCTTCGTCTCTGTTAGCGTAAGCTTTCGGCCTCAGTTTCGATATCGAAGCGAAATTTTCGGGAAAAAAACTGGTGGTTGCTCATTGTAGCTAATTCAGTCTACTGTTGCGACGTGTATTATACTGTAGAATATTATACCTGCAGAAAATCTTGAATTTTAACATTGTATAATACACTGAACCACGCCTTTTTACTGTGCCTCCAAGAGACAAGGAACTGTTCGGTGTAGTTCATTTGATAATAACGCGTTTATTCTTTTTTCTATCAGCCTCAATATTTGAGCTGATGTGGTTACCAATTCTAGAATAAATACGGCAAAAAAAAGCGCCATTCTGCCCAAAGCGGTTGAAAAGCAGTTATATAATGATAAACTAACGGCTAGATTTTCTTGACTGCGCAACAAACAACATCCACTACTATTATGTTCAAACAAGGTCGCACCTTCCTTACTAGACTATTACGACTATCTGTTACTTACCTGTGTTTTAGGTAGCACGTTTAGCAGGCAGCGGATTGGGCAAAACAAAAAAATAAATCACTGTACCGGCATCAGACCTGTCGTTGCCGCTATCGCTGTGTTCGCCAACGCTTCCAGAAATTGTCCTGAGTCACCAGCGGCCGACAAAGAGAAGGTTGCGCGTTCAACGGGATTCGCCTACAAAGCCCTAAAACGACAAAAACACTGACGAGCAATGACGGAAAATGGACATGAACTTCACCGCTTCAGACACAACGGGCCCAAACCCCACAGGTGCACCCGGGCACCATGGTGCCGTCGGTCGTTGCTGCTTCGATGTACGCTGTCGTAGCTATTCGTTTACTGATTAGTATTCCAGTTGGAACATTAAATGCCCGCCGTGCAACTAGACCCCTGTAAATATGGCCGATTCAAAAGTGTCCTGCGGATCAATGCCAACAAAAGACA